TTATATTGTATAAATCATATTATATGGTTAAATAAGAGTGATGAATAGTACAACAGTGGGTTTCTGGTGCGGCTGGCTGCACCATGCGGCAGGTTGTCAAATCAGCAAATGACAAAGTAACCCCAAGACAAAAGTAACCCCTGACTGACCTAGTAACCCTTGACCAAGTAACCCTGACTGACCTAGTAACCCCTGACCTAGTAACCCCTAGTAACCCCTAACCGACCTGGTAACCCCCGACCTAGTAACCCCAAGTAACCCCTTACCGACCTGGTAACCCCCGACCTAGTAACCCCTAACCGACCTAGTAACCCCAAGTAACCCCTAACCGACCTGGTAACCCCCGACCTAGTAACCCCTAACCGACCTAGTAACCCGAAGTAACCCCTAACCGACCTAGTAATCCCCGACCTAGTAACCCCAAGTAACCCCTGGCCGCCGACCTAGTAACCCGAAGTAACCCCTAAGCGACCTAGTATCCCCCGACCTAGTAACCTCAAGTAACCCCTGACCGACGACCTAGTATCCCCTTACCGGACCACCTAGTAACCCCGGATCTAGTAACCCCTTACCCACCAGGCCACCACCAACAAAAAACTACCACCAACAACCACCACCAACGAACCACTGCCAACCTAAACGCCTTGCCACTAGCCCCTAACCCACAAACAAACCCCGATCCAACCAAACCATTAAAAAAAATCAAATCAAACAAATACCTTAAAATGTTAACAATGGTTTCGAATATCACTTCAAATATGGCTAAAAAGGCCAAATTCGACCATGAAAATTTTAGATCTAGAGTTTTCATGGCCGAATTTGGCCTTAAAAACTTTGAACTTGTTTTCCGACGACGGAGTCACCAAACCACCACTACCCTCCCAATGAAACCACTACTTCCGACGAACGAATCACCGACGAATGAACCATACTATTGATGACGATTGCGAAATTTGTGTTATGTTCTCTGAGAAAATGAGATGAATGTTCTGGCTTGAAGAAGAAGAAAAGAGGAGAGAGAAAGAATTTTTAAAAAATAAAAAAAAATGTGGCTGGCCACACCAATCTCATTGGTGTAATATTATCGTAATGGAGAGAAAATTAATATTTGTAAAGTAAAATAAAATAAAATAAAAATAATTTTGATTATTATTGAAATGGAAAAACATTATAATTTGTAAAGTAAAAAAATAATTAATAATTTTCATTATTTCAAATATAAAATATTGATATAGTATTATTTGCAAATTTTATTACTACATATAATGATGTACTTTTGACCCTTGTCAATTTTTATTTGATTGCACTAAATATTTGTTTTTTGATATATATAGTCACTAGATAGACAAGCAATAAAAAAATTCGGAAAAGGAAAAATAAAAAAGAAAAAATAATAAAAAAAGAAAAATCCAAAAAGAGAGAAGCAAATGATGAATTGATGAGACTGAAAAATGTACGTTCTGGAAGGAGATGGACCTTGACTTTTGTGATGTATACACTTCTTAATGATTTTTATACACACGGACCTTAGCTTAGCTTTCCTTATGCTGCAAGTTTCCCCTTTTACCTACATCCTTCTTAAACTAAACAATAAAACAAAAAACGAAAACTATCAATTAATTTATTTTTCCAAATATGCCCTTAATAGTTTCTCCTTTAAATATTAATCATTATTACGTAAGCATGACGTCACCTCAACGCAATGGGAACAAATGGGAAAATCCTTTAAAAAGTAAAGATGATGGACCCTCAAAGATCATAAGAAAACGAATCAGACATTATAGTACTATTTTTAATTGAAATCATATCAGATAAGATTATATCCAAAAGAGAAATATTTTAAGTGAGTTGCACTAATTTTTTCCTCATTAGTTTTTTTGTTCATTTGTGTTAACATCACCTATTAAATGAACCTCAATAATTAAATTGATATTTTGATACTTAATAATTATGATGTACTCACAAGTCACAAATAATTTTGTAATCTGAAGGCCTGTTCTGATTGACTAAATTTATTGGAGCTGAACTGAACATTTTATGAGAGAAAAAAAATTAAGAACTGAACTTATTGGAGCTCAACTGAATTGAACTGAAAATAATATGAAGACAACAGACCCTAAAATATAAAATTTGACTACTATCTAGTTTTGAAAAGTGAAAAAATGTGTGATGTAATATTATTATAATCCCTGGATACAAATTTGTTGCAACATTTGAGTCTACAAAATGCATTTTTTTATAAGAAGTCCTAAAGTATACACTAAGGGCCTGTTCTCTTACGTTGAAATTTAGTTCAGTTCAGTTCAGCTAAATTCAGTTCAGTTCAACTCAGTTCAGCTCAGTTCAGCTCCTAATTTCCCTCTCTTATAAAATATTCATTTCATTTTAGTTCAGTTCAGTTCAAGTTCAGTTCAGATCAGTTCAGCTCAGCTCAGCTCTCAGTTCAGTTCAGTTCAGTCAATGAGAACAAACCCTAAATTTCATTAATTAACGCCCTACGACATCTAATTGACGATAGATAAAGAAAACGAATTTAACAAAATCAAACAAGAATTAATTGGGGAAGGACTAAGAATCCAAATACATAAATATAACAATTCGGCTCATTTTCGATTCGTTGTCTCATACAACTTTTTGTGTGGATCCGTCGTCGCTTCACAATTTGGTGATAAAGTAAATTCTTGTGCAGATTCCGTAATCCGAATTCGAGCCATAATCAATCATAGCCCCACACAATCGGAGTTCAAAGTAAACACAAATAAAACCTTGTCTTTCGAAGGAGAAAACCCCCTGTCTTTGGAAGGCAATCGAAAAAACCTTGTGTTTCGAAGGAGATGAAAAAAAAACCCTTGTATTTCGAAGATAAACTCTTTCTTTTCTTTCGAGGGAGACTTTATTGTAACCTAAGAAACAAAATGATTAAAAGAAAATAAAGATTAGGGCTTTCCACCGGTGAACATTGATTATTAATATATTTCATTACATAGTGATTACAATTGTGAAATTATTGATAAGTTGAAAATATTATTGATATAAATATAATTAGATTGGTTTCATTTGATATTGTTTATATTGAAATATTTGTTACATACGGAGTAGAAACTATGGTCAAAATTTAAAAACAACAATAAAGGTCAATATGACTAAAGTATAGCAGAGCGAGGTTTTTCAGTGTGGCAAGCTGATGCGGCAGAGGTTACTTGTAAGATGTTACTTGTATTATGAGGTTACTTGAATCGTGGGATTACTTGTATGTGTTACTTTTATTTTGAGTAACTCCTACAAGTAACTCTAAACCAAAACCCCATACCAAACCAGTAACACCATACAAATAACCCCCGACAAAACCAGTAACACCCTACAAGTAACCCCCGACCAAAACCAATAACACCCGTACAAGTAACCTCATGATACAAGTAACACCTACAAGTCACCCCTGACAAAACCAGTAACACCCTACAAGCAACCCTTGACCAAAACCAGTAACACCCATACAAGTAACCCCATAATACAAGTAACACCCACAAGTAACCCCTAACAAAACTAACACCCTACAAGTAACCCTGCCGCATATAAAAATTTGTAAAAGTATAGAAATTACTCGGAATTTTTTTTTTTTTTTTTTTTTTTGTGTGTAAAGTGAGTTTCTCTTTCTTTCTTTTCTTTTCTTTTTTTTTTTAAAAAAAAACTTTTAAGCTAGAAAAGAAAAAAAAAATTATATAAATACTTTAATATTGTTAAATACAAGTACTTAATATGAGTAGTAAAATTAAGAACGGATAGAGTACATTTTTTGTGGTATATATGTAATTTTAAATAAAAAAAATTAATATCTTCAATTGCATGTACATCAAATTAAACTTAAACTTCAATGATATTTTTTTGAGATATATTTGAAGCATCGTCTATTCTTCTTGCATATAATTTTTTTCAAAATAAGAATGTAACTCGTTTAAATGTTGTTACTGAAAAAAAAAGAGAACTTAATTATTGTATTCGTTTTATTATTATTATTATTATTATTATTATTATTATTATTATTATTTCACAAAAGATTATTCTAAGTAGAAGAATAATATGAAACAGGGTGCGCACATAAGTAGTATTAAGTTATTAACCATACATAACTAAGCCTAATTACCAATAAGCATCAGTGCATCACTAGAGTTGAAATGAGCCGAGGTTACTAAGCTAGGATGCTACTTGATAGTATACGCATTGGGTTACTGATGTTTAATGGTGTTATTATTAATTATGTTACTCCATAATCCATAAATAAAGTGAGTGTGTTGCATCACATATAAATAGAAGAGTGGAAGACTCTGAATCTTATATGATTCTATCATAAGACATAATAAATCCTCTTTTTACCACTCAAGATAGTGGAGATATTCAATCAAATCAAAATCTACTATAAATCCTTTTACTATGACAATTTTTTTTTTTTTTTTTTTTTTTTTTTTTTTGTTATGATAATTAGAATCATGTAAATCATCAGATCAAATGCCAAGTAGTACTCATTTCGGGTACGTTAGGGTCTGTTCCGATTTACTAAAAACAATCGAAGTGAACTGAACAAAACTAAACTGTTATTGGGGCTGAAATGAATAGAACTGAAATCAATTGTTTATGAGAGAAAGAAATTAGGAATTGAATTGAACTAAACTAAACTGACTGAACTGAATTAATTGTAACTGAATTGAACAGATTGAAGCTGAATTGACTAAAAATTAAGTTGAACAAAATATATCCTTAGTTCTTACGTATATACGAATATATATCTTTGGTTTCCTAAGTTGTCCTCTCTAAGTGTATCTCCATAAATCAAATAGAATATATAATATGGACCACGAACTCATTTAGTCATTTACCTTTTGGGTCACAAGTCTCACAGCTAATTAACCAGGAAGAAAAAAATAAACGGAGTCTCGTGCTATAGCTAGGCCAATTTATAAAAACGTTATATGACTATATGAATTAAGCAAAGGAAAACATTGTCCTAATAAGAAGTATACCCGTATAACAAAACTAAATACAGTAATACAAATAATTTGTAAAACTTAAGGAGTACATAGTACAAAACATATCAAAAAGTTAATTAACTAAAAAAAAAAAAACAATAAAAAGCAAAAATAAATAATAAATTGGAAAGTTAAAATTGAACTCACATTCCATATTCTCCTACGTAGTAAATGCCTATCCTTTAAAAAAAATTGAACTTTATTATTTTTATATACAAAAACAGAATATTCTAGAAAAACAGGTGATAACTCAGGAGAGAGAAAAAAAAAATAAAGAGAAGGAAAGAATTCCGCGTAGACAGATGAGGTAATTAGACTTCTTTGATTGAGACATCTACAAATATTTTCATTCATTTAACCCCAAAAAAAATAAAATTAAAAACATTCAACAATTTTTTATAACACCTTTCTCTCCCCTCTTTCTCTTCTCTCTCAAAAAATTCTTTGTGATATTCTCTCTTATGAACATGAATCGCCCTCCTTACAAACCCGTACACAATATTATCGTCTCATCAATCTCTTAATTAAATTCTTTCACACTTATATCACTTTTCCCACTTTATTAACTTCGTGGTTCCAATACGATCCCTCAATAATTATATCTTTTCATCCGATATAAATATATCATAATCTAAACCATCCCCTCTTTTAATTTTTACATCAATTTTATATAAGTAGTATATAATTTTTTTTTTTTTTCTTGTTTTATGTTTTTGGTTTATACTTCGTTAATGGAAGGGCATATGCATCAACATCATCAACACCTGTATCATCATCATCAGCAACAGCAGCAGCCGCCGCAACAGCAACAAATGAGTGGTACGGTGGGGGTGGATACAGGGGATAGATTCCCACAGTGGAGTGTTCAAGAGACAAAAGAGTTCTTAATTATTCGAGCAGATTTAGACCGGAATTTTATGGAAACTAAAAGGAACAAGCTTCTTTGGGAAGTTATCTCTACTAAAATGAGAGAAAAAGGTTTCAATCGTAGCGCTGAGCAGTGCAAGTGTAAATGGAAAAACCTCGTCACCCGTTACAAGGTTAGCTATTTCTATATCTATATCTATGTCTATTTTTATATCAATCTCCCTTATCGTACCTTTTTTTAGGTAAAACACGGGTTCGCTCTTAAACAGAAATATTATTTCAAATCAAGTTTTTCTAACACTTAATACATACAGTAATCTCGGGATAAGAGCTTATACAAACAATTTTGCTAGTATTTCCTAGCTAGCTATCTTAATTACCTTCCTACAATTATTTTTTTGTTTGTTCAAAAAAATACAACGCGTTTTGTTTTCATGATTTAGGACAACTAATGTATTGCTTTTTTTTTTTTTTTTTTTTTTTTTTTTTATATATATATATATAAATGTGTTTGTGTGTCCGACATGCTAAATTCAAAATAGAAGTCAGTATGAGACAATTTTATAATAACTTATATTATTTGTATGGATTGATATATATAGTGTAACAAAAGTGATTGGATTATTGGATGTTAATTTTGATTTTAGTTTGTTTGAAATTATATTTGTTGAGGGAAGCTTAGGGGTGTGAGACAATGGAACCGGATGTGATGAGGCAACAATTCCCATTCTACAACGAGATGCAAGCGATTTTTACGGCGAGGATGCAGAGGATGCTGTGGGCGGAGGAAGAAGGCGGACCAGGCACATCGTCTACGACGACAACGAAGAAGAACAAGCTAGCACAAGGCCAAGGCATGACATCGGAGGAGGAGGAGGATGAGGATACAGATGGAGAAAAAGGCGGTGTTAAGAAGAAAGCAAGCAAGAAGGCGAAAACAATGACTAGTAGTGGTGGTGGTAATGTTAGTAGTATAATTACGAATACTAATAATAGTATTAACGCGGTGAAGGAGATGTTGGAGGATTTTATGAAGCAGCAGTTGCAAATGGAGGTGCAATGGAGGGAGGCGTACGAGGCGAGGGAGGAGGAGAGGAGGAGGGCGGAGATGGAGTGGAGGCAGAGAATGGAGGCGTTGGAGAATGAGAGGTTGGTGATGGAGAGGAGGTGGAGAGAAAGAGAAGAGCAGAGGAAAATGAGAGAGGAAGCTAGGGCTGAAAAGAGGGATGCTCTTATTACTACTCTTTTAAATAAACTCCGAAGAGAAGATTAAATTAGCTGATACGCTCATGAACAACTCGTGAACAAGCTCGTGAATTGTGATTGATCATGTAAATGTACTAAAAAATTTACATGGTTTTATTCTTCTTCAAATGTTGTAGCTTAGCTTAGCTAGATCATGCAAACAGGTTAGTTTTCTCAATTTTCACAAGAATTTTCTTTCTTTATTTAGTTTTTCATCAAGTCGTTTATTTTACTTAGGTAGTTCTAATGGGAGGAAAATAGCTAAGTTGAGCTAGCTAGCTAAATGTTTAATTTTCATATTTATTTATATATTATATGAATTTTCTTAATTGCACTTCAATTTATTTGTCTCTACTAGATAGTCTACTTGAGACTCGAGTACTTTTATTTCATTGGGTACTAATCCCCCTTACAAGTATTAGGGTACGTAATTATCAATTATTAGCTAACTAGCCATTATGATGAAAGTAATGTATGTAATAATTAACCTATTACTTTAATAAGTTCATATAATCGATGAATTCGGTGGTTTTGGTAGCACTTTGCTAAATTGAAATTTTTCATATGTAGTGTGTGCATGCATGTATACCTGACTTTTATATTATCTTTCAAAAAAATTTATCATAGAGTAAAAGAGTTTCATACTTAGCTTCTTGATATATAGTGTGCATTATGGACTGGTTTACAGAATTTGCATTTTATTAATTAGAGAGTGGAGATTTTCATTCATGTGTATGTGAACTTACATGGCATTAAAGGAAATTGATACAAAATTTATGCGTTGCACCACTACATAATACTATATATGGATCGTTAAATTACACTCGGTCAAGTGAAAAGATTGTACTTTCTAACCTTGAGGTTGGGGTTTCAACAGTTTAGACACTTTGAAGATGGGCTGAGAATTGAGAATCTCTTACTTTTCTCCCTCACAACCTCAAAGTGTCTACCCCTAAAAAAAAAAAAAACCCATAAAAATTGAGGCCAAGTACGGTCAGAGACTAATCTTTCTCAATTATCCTTACCTTATAAAGGTTTTATTATATACGATTCACCATATTCTAATCTATAATTTAGGAAAATAGTTTTTTTTTTTTTTTTTTTTTTTTTTTTTTTTTTTTTTTTTAAGGAATTTAGAAAAATAGTTTGTACTAATAATATAGCAAAACAATAAGAAGTTTTTTTTTTTATTTTTTATTTTTTTTATAATTATTATTATTGTTAGAAAATTTACTACGGAGTATCGCTTTTTTAAAAATTATTACTATTGTTTTTTTAATTATTATTATTGTTAGAAAATTTACTTAGAATCCTAAAATAATAGCCTAAAATTTATTTAGAAGCCTACAATAATCCTACTCCCTTTTCTTTCACAATAGGTTCAACACAACTGTACTATTAAAGCTAAGGAAAAAAGAAAGCATTAGGAAGCATAAAATATTAAAGATTTAATTAAAGTTGAATGTTTACTCTCTGATAAATATTAGGAGCATTATTGCATATTCTCTTCATCTATAATAAGGCGTTCTGGTCTAATGTATTGATCATTCATACTTTATAAGATCTTTTGTATTTAATAATAAATATAATAGGCAAATTTTAAGTTTTGGTATGATTTGAATCAATGATTTATTTATTTATTTATTTATTTTTTTGAAACATGATTCAATGATATTTGGTTTAATATGATCTAGTCCAATTCTAATAACAATAAGTAATAGGGTAATCCGAAGTAAGTTTTTTTTTTTTTTTTTTTTTTTTTTTTTTTTTTTTTTTTTTGACGGGAAAGTAAGTTTTTGAATTAATTGAATTTTCGAAAATGCTTCCTATGTGCTGATGTGCATGTACAAAATCTATATATCAAGGGGTCCATAATTCTTAATCTATTACTTCGTACGTAAATATGAAAGAAATGGTCAAATTTCAACAAAATCAAAGATTAAATACTTATAAAAGTTTACTCAAATAGGAGTAAACAAGAGATTTCCTAGTGCTCTAAAACATATCGACTACAAATAGTATGGAATCTCTGACAGTTGCAAACTACGAGCGCAGTTGTGTTTGTGTAAGAATTTAACCTTTTTAGATTGTTAAATTAAGCTCACGCGTTGAGCTTTAGCATAGTTTTGACTTTGCCCTTAAGTTTTCCCACTAGAAAGAGCAATGCAAGATTGCAAGCTCATTCATGACGTTCTCACCTATTATAACAACAAGAGTACGTGTACCCATGCTAATACACAGGAATATATGTATGTTTAGAAATTAAGAGAAATAGTAGATTGAAAGTTATGGAAAAGTTTTTTTTAGGGTGTTGATTTGAAGAAGTGAAAGAGAGTTCACAAAATTGAAGAATTGAGATGTTGGAGAGTTGTGGTAAGGTAAGAAGTTACAAAAAATCTATACAATTGTACTATAGATTTCTTAAAACAAGTTATGTTAATATACATGACTAGAAGATTTTCGTTAGATGTTTATAGAAATATGAAGAAATTGGCAAGCAAGCTCGATCTATATATATTATGTGAAACAATAAGTGCTTTTTGAATTAACCTTGGATTTGCTCTGACATCTGTCTAAATGCTTGTATATTTTCTCCTTACTAAATAATCTATTTATTTCAAATTAAAATCAAAAGGGTGAAGGCTCCAAAAAGGATCAATGAGCAAGCTTGCATTATTATTATGAAGGTAATGCTGCACTTCAATATTAATGGCTTAATGCGATAAGATTACTAATTGATTATCATTTTAAGATCACATATCATGCAAGCTACCAGTTTTGTACAGATTTATGAATGTTCAATTATTTATAAACGTAGGTATGTGCTCTTAAATCATGTCAAGTATGTGTCCTAAGAGTGAAATATGCCGTTTAATTTTGATAAATGATGAAATTCGGACATGATTAATTGTAAGCTAGTTAATTAAGGGCACAGGGCAATCCCAATAATTAAAGTAGAATCATCTATAAAAAAAAATTAAAGTAGAATCATCTATATGAGATTTAATTCAAGTGTTGTTATAATATGTCTTGAATATCATTTTTTTTTTTTTTTTTTTTTTTTAGAGAGCCATTAAGGAAGGGTGAGAATCGATCTCAGGATCTCCTGAAATCGGGAGGGAAACTCTAACCACTTGAGCTATCCCTCACTCTCATGTTTGTTGGGGTTTTGCCTTCTCGTGTACATAGCTTAACACTTGTATTTTCTTTTTTTTTTTCTTTCACTCACTCGTAACCGTTGTCAATATTTTTTTTTCTTCTAACTGTAGCAATAAGTATGTACTTATCCATTTTACTCAAGGTAACATAGTTAGTGTAAATTTATCCTAGCTACGATATTTTTTTTAATTAAACAAAGAGTGAACAATGTATGTGATACACAAGTACAATATGATCAATATATATTATAAAGTAATGGAATCACACATTAAGATTATTTTTTTATACGAAAAGTTCAAAAGGAGCATGAAATGAATAAAACTTTAGATTGCAGTATTGCACTAGAATTTACTTCACAAGATTACATAACCAAGTTACTTAATAAATTAGTTTTATTGGTTGTTCAATTTCTTGATGTGCAATTAAAAACTCCCTGTCCTTGGGATTATTCCTTCGTCTAGTATATAAGCGCGTCATGAATTTGACCGTGTCGTTATACTTCTAGAACTCTGTATGCATTTTTTTTTTTTTTTTTTTTGAGGATACTCTGTATGTACTTTATTTATACATAGAAGAGAAGAATACATACCACATAATATTTTTTGGCAAACGTAGTAAATTTTAGTTAGCGTAAAATGAGAAATATTATAAGCTAAAGAAAAATTTGTAAGGAAGGTCTTTTTAAGTAGACCTTTTTGTGACAAAGGCCCTTTTATAAAAAAAAAGTGGCACAAAAGGTCCTTATATCATGTTAAGGTTGTGAGGAGGTCCTTTGACCATTTTCCGGCGTTGACGTTTTTATTTTCCGGCAAAAAAAAGTCACATCTAAGTTTCTTTTTTTCTCCCTCTTCTTTTCTCTCGTTTTCCCCTTTTTTTCCCCTATTAAGCCCTAATTTCTGAAAATAATTAACACTAAAACTTCAATTGTAATCCCATAAATTAAAATTGAAGGCTATCCAAAGTAATTTAAGACAAATCCTCCCCACAATGAGAGAAAATAGGGAAAAAAGGGAACTTAATAAGTCACGAGCTTTACACGTGACTTTTTTGGCCGCAAAATGAAAAATGGTCAAAGGACCCTCTTTACAACCCAACCACGATATAAGGACCTTTTGTGTCACCTTTTTTTTTTTTTTTTATAAAAGGGCCTTTGTCACAAAAAAGTCTACTTAAAAGGACCTTCTTCATAAATTTTCCTAAGCTAAAAGAAAAAAGGAAGTATATAAGATGATAATTTTTATTGAAGATTATGAGTTAATATATATGAATACATGACTATATACTTCATATTACTAATATACTACAGTAGGTTAAATGATACCGCATGTCTAACATATTTCAAATTTGTTTGTGGTATGGTAAACAATGAAAATTGAAGAGTATAAGATGATAAAGCAAAAATCAAATGAGAATATGCGATCATCATAATTTAGAACCTCATTGCATTGCCTACACAAAAGTAGAATTGAAGCCACGTGGTCTTATTACAATTTAAAGAATGATCAAAAGAAATACTAGTAATTATATTTTCTTTTGGAGAAATTCCCTTGTATTCCAAAGGAAGCCGTTACATATAATGAAGTTTCAAAGATGCAAAGTATTATACAGAGAACGAATTTGAAAGATTACATTAACCTACTTTTGACAAAAACTCACTTTTGTTTTATATTTTCTTGTTTGACCCTAGGCGAGATCAGCTAATACGTGTCTACGTTATAGTTATAATATACTTTTTCATTTCAAATAATCTTGTAAAATATGACTAAAAGAGGCTGGCAAATTATTAAATAAAGTGATATGAGGGAATACATTCCACCACTTATGCAAATGTGGTAACTGATAGGGTATATAAGCCGATTATAGACTTCAACCATCAGGTTAAACTTTTAATTGATTTGATCTTTTAACATAATATCAGACTATCAATATTAACGTGATACAAAGTTTACAGGTTCAAGTCATCCACCCTCACTTTCAAGTGGGTACACATCTCTAGTATAATTGTATCATGTTTCACTAATTATACTATGTGTACAAGTGTACAACTACTACGTGTATTATTAGGTTTTATTTTACTATTTATTTATTTATTTATGTTTAGAGAGCCACAAGCGTACAAGGACGAATAATGAGAATCGATCTCGGAATCATCTGAAATTGGAAGGGGAACTCTAACTACCTGAGCTATTCC